TCCCGACGAACTTCTTCTCGGCGAATTGGCAACTTCCAACCCCAAAATTTCTCTTTCTTTCTCCCTAGAGCCGGTTCTATACACCGCTCCCTGTTATTTCCAAGTACTGACTTGAGCTTTGGAGAAGGTCCCAGCCGACCACAACCGGCGGGTCCTCTTTTGCAGGTATTCATCTCGAAAGCTGGAATCCAACGGAAAATCAAAAGGTCAACGCTCTCCGGACTCTACAACGTACGAGGTCGGCTATTTTAGCTTGGCATCAATAGGTTTATACAAAAGACCATACTATGATCATATAGAACAAGTTTGTAGAGATAGCCGTCAATTTCATTTTATTGACGAAACCACCGAGGAGAAGAGAGGAATTGTCATTGGTACTCTAAATTCTACAAGGCTATTATACTGATCATTTTTTTCATTTCATGTAAATTCGTACTATGACTGAAGTGATATTACCTCAAGCCATAAATTACAGCAACGGAATGGTCGTTTGGATTAATGTGTACTAATGCAAAATGTCATGTAGGTGCCACGAAGGAGTAAGAAAGGACCAATCAGCATGTTTGCTGTCGAGAAGGATAAAATCGTGATAATGGAGAGGTTACATGACAATTGACTTATACATATTGAAGAGATAGAAAATGCAGAGTTGTAAGTTATTTGTGTGTTTAGTGTAGCAGAGTGATTAGGAGTGATTTGGTATATACATGTCCCAATCCCATAATCACGAATACCGAATAGCACTCCAAAATGAATCTCAATCACAATCCCTAAAAAATAAACCTTTATTCGATAATACCAAATAGTGATAAATTCAATAGGATTTTCGGTATATATCAAATACGGGTACCAAACTCCCAACCCTAATCGCCATCAATGCTTTCCATCTAGCCATCTTTCACTAATTTGTTACCAATAACAACAACGTTGCCCCTCCACCATCATCAACCTTGCTTCCTCATTCCTGTCATGTTCCGATCCACTGTCAAAGCAACAAGATTGCTAAAAAGCTTGTCATTAAGTCGCCATTATCATTAACGTCGGGGAATGACAATGAGACCAGCCGCCATTTCCTTAGTCTCTTCTACTCTTTCTCTTATTGTAAAAAAAAATCTGCCCTTTCTCGACGAGTAGGTAATACCGACGGACCTACTGTGAGCTGAAGTCAGGGCTACAGGCTGACTGGAATCCAAATCCGAGAAGGAGAAGGATTAGAGTTGCAGCGGGAAAGGTTGTTAGTTTGAATAAAGAAACCAAAACTGTGTCGTTTGGTTTAAGAGTCTGTCTGTTTCGTTTTATGGCCTTTTTCAGTTTGGTCCTTGGTGTCTTGTTAGAGTCTTTTGAAGTCCTGCACAGGATTTGAGTTTGTTGCAGGTTTTTAGGTTAAACAGCTTATTAGTAGGGTTGTTAAGGGATTCATGGGGCACAAATCAAGGGGTTGGGAGTTAGTAGTGTGGCCGTTGTCAAAGGCTGAGTCTCTGTATTTAAACTTCTTTGCTTCTGATTAATAAAACTTGTCAGTTTGCCCCATACGTTGTCAAACTGTAACCTGAGATTGAGTGCTAAGTGAAAAGTTCTGCAGATCTGATTGCAGATCAGGTTAGGGAAACACGAGTGATTAAGTGAGAATCATAACCTGGGTGTAGAGTGAAGGCTCAATAGAACTTGAGCAGAAAGAGAACCTGTAGAGATGAGTGACAATGGAGGTTTTGCTGCTGTGGGCATACCAAAGTTTGATGGTGACTATGATCACTGGAGCTTAGTGATGGAGAACCTGTTGAGATCAAAGGAATATTGGGGAGTGGTTAGTGAGGGATTTACAGAACCTTCAGCAACTGAGGTTTTATCTGCTGTCCAAACCAAAAGCCTAGAAGATCTCAGGCTGAAGGATCTTAAAGCCAAAAATTACCTCTTCAGTTCCATTGATCGAGTCATTCTCAAGACCATTACAAACAAGCAGACTGCCAAAGAACTATGGGATGCCATGAAAACCAAATATCAGGGGAGTGCAAGGGTTCAGAAGGCTCAGCTGCAAGCCTTGAGGAGAAGTTTTGAGCTACTCGAAATGAAGGAAGGTGAGACTATAAATGATTACTTTGGTAGAGTGATGGTGATAGCAAATTCAATGAGAAACTGTGGAGACAACTTGACAGATGTGCATATAGTTGAGAAAATTCTCAGAACTCTGACAGAGAAGTTCAACTATGTGGTGTGCTCAATAGAAGAATCAAAAGATATAGAAACATTATCAGTTGATGCTCTATAGAGTTCCCTAGTTGTTCATGAACAGAAATTCCAAAGGAAGAATGGAAGTGAGGAAGAGCAGGCTCTTAGGATGAATTTTGAATCTGTAGGTAGAGGAGGTAGAGGTCCAGGACGTGGAGGATTCTATCAAAGTAGAGGAAGAGGAAGAGGAAAAAGTTGGAATAAGGCAAGTGTGCAATGTTTTAAGTGTCATAGATTGGGACACTTCCAGTATGAGTGCCCAGGATGGAACAGTACTGGTCAAGCCCACTACACCAACACAGACCACGGGCAAGGTAGCACTGAAGTTCACATGAAAGAAGACATGCTTCACATGGCTCATGTGGAGGCTGTGAAAACAGAAAGTCCAAGAACTACAAGAGCAACCTGGTGGTTTCTTGATTCAGGTTGCAGCAATCATATGACAGGGAACAGGAACTGGTTCACTGATCTAGACACTAGCTACAAAGGAAGTGTCAGATTGGGAAATGACACAAAGCTCGATGTTGTGGGAAAAGGGACTGTGAAACTAACTTTGGATCAGTTCACACTCACCATTCAAGACGTGTTTTATGTTCCAAGACTCAACACTAACCTACTGAGTGTAGGACAGCTGCAAGAGAAGAATCTGATCTTTGTCATTCAGGATGGTGGCTGCAAGGTGTATCACAAAGGGAAGGGATTACCATTGGAGACTACAATAAAGTCAAATCGCATGTTTGTGATACATGCCAATCCTGCAATTGAAGAAAATCATGTGAGACAGTGCTTGCAGACAGGAACCAGCAATGAAACTTCACTAGAATTGTGGCACAGAAGATTTGGCCATCTAAACTCAGCTGCCATCCTTCAACTGCAAAAGAAGAAGTTGGTCCAGGACCTACAAAATTTGCAAGGAACAATTGGAGTCTGCTCCACTTGCATGATTGACAAGCAGCATCGAAATCCATTTCCAAAGAAGAGCAGCTGGAGGGCTACACAGAAACTGCAATTGGTTCATGCTGATCTGTGTGGACCAATCACTCCAACATCAAATGGAGGTAAAAGATATATCTTCACCTTGACTGATGATTACAGTAGAAAGTTGTGGGTTTATTTATTGAATGCCAAGTCTGAAACCTTAGAATAATTCAAGAAATTCAAAGTGCAAGTAGAGAAGGAAACTGGTCTATCACTTATTTGTCTGAGAACATATAGGGGAGGGGAATTCATGCTTCATGAGTTCAGAGATTTGTGTGAAAAGGAAGGAATCAGGAGGCAGCTAACAGCTGCCCTTACTCCACAACAGAATGGAGTGGCTGAGAGGAAGAACAGAACAACAATGAATATGGTCAGATGTATGCTTGAAGATAGAAGGGTACCTGCTCAATTCTGGCCCGAGGCAGTAGCATGGACCTCCCATGTATTAAACATAAGTCCAACAGCTTCAAATGCAGGAAAAACACCCCAGGAACTGTGGACAGGTGCACCTCCATCTGTTTCACACTTCAAGGTGTTTGGATGTGCAGCATATGTGCACATCTCAGATTCCCAAAGAAGAAAACTGGACAACAAGAGTATTCTATGCTACTTTCTGGGATTATCATTAGAGTCCAAGGCCTATAAACTCTATAATCCCATAACTAAAAAGGTGGTGATAAGCAGGGATGTGGTGTTTGATGAGTCAAAATGTTGGGACTGGAAGTCTGAGATGTCACCTTCACCAACTAAACTAAGCTGGGAAGGAAGTGAAGATGAGCTGTATGAATCAGATGATGGGGATGACACTGCTGAAGACAATTCAGCAACCCTAGATGATCAAGAGCCGCAAGAATTTACAAGTCCTGCTCCAGTCACACCTCAAACTGGATTCAGACTGAGACAGAAGGGGAGGACTCTGATACTGAATCTCCAACTGACAGTTTGGGACTACCTACTTAAAGTCTTGGTCCAAGGGTGAGAAAACCTCCATCTCGATTAGCAATATATGATTGCACACACTATACTGATGCAGACTGGTGGGCCATGGTAGTCTGTACCACTGATCCATTAACCTATGAGGAAGCTGCTGAAGATGAGAAGTGGAATGCAGCAATGAGAGAAGAAATGAACTCCATTGAGAAGAATCAGACCTGGACCCTAGTTGCATTGCCTCCAAATGCCACTCCAATTGGTTTGAAATGGATCTACAAGACCAAACTGAAGGAGGATAGTTGCATTGATAAGTTCAAAGCAAGGTTAGTGGCTAAGGGGTACTCACAGAAGGCTGGGATTGATTACAACGAGGTTTTTGCTCCAGTTGCAAGATGGGATACAATCAGAACACTCTTGGCCCTGGCAGCACATCATGGACTCAGTGTCTATTAGCTGGATGTCAAGAGTGCATTTCTATATGGCACACTTACAGAAGATGTTTATGTTGAGCAACCACAGGGATTTGTGGTTGCTGGGGAGGAAGATAAAGTCTACAAGCTAAACAAAGCCTTGTATGGCCTAAAACAAGCTCCCAAGGCTTGGTACAGTAGAATTGAATCTTATTTGCTAAGTGCAGGTTTTGAGAGAAGCACATATGAACATACATTGTTCATACAGAGGAAAGGGGGAAAGATCCTCCTGGTCAGCTTGTATGTAGATGATATTATCTACACCAGCAACTGTGAGGACATGATCACTGAATTCAAGAACTCAATGAAACAGGAATTTGAAATGACTGACCTTGGTCGAATGAAATATTTCCTGGGAGTGGAGATCAATCAAACTGAAGAAGGAATCTTTATCTCACAGTAGAAGTATACAAGAGAAATGCTGGAGAAGTTCAATCTGCTGGAGTGTAATCATGTCAAGACTCCAATTGCCACTGGTGTGAAGTTGACAAAGGAAGGAGATGGAGTTGCTGCAAATCCTTCAGAGTACAAGCAATTGATTGGGAGTCTACTTTATGCCACTGCAACTCGACCTGACATTATGTTTTCAGTGTGCCTACTGAGTCGATTCATGGAGCAACCAACCAGGCAGCACATGTTAGCTGCTAAAAGAATACTCAGATATCTGAAAGGAACACAGGGATATGGAATATGGTACCAGAGGGGCCAGGATGAAGGCTGTCTAGTAGGGTACACTGACAGTGATTATGCAGGAGATCTGAATGATCGAAAGAGCACCAGTGGATATGCTTTCTTCTTGGCTGGAGGGGTAGTTTCATGGGCTTCCAAGAAGAAACCAGTGGTCACTCTTTCAACCACAGAAGAAGAATTTGTGGCTGCCTCTTATGCAGCTGCTCAATGTGTTTGGTTGAGAAGAATCATGAAGCAGATGGGTTGGGAATCTAGTGTTAAGGAGGCTACAAGAGTATACTGTGACAACAGCTCCACCATCAAGCTAGCCAGGAATCCCATCCTTCATGGCAGGAGCAAGCATATAGACGTGTGCTTTCATTTTCTGCGAGACCTGGTCAAGGATGAGGTGATTGGATTGATGCACTGTGGTTCTGAGGAGCAAGCAGCTGATATACTAACTAAGGCCCTCAAGTTGGAGACCTTCGAGTTCCTAACAGCCAAGTTGGGAGTACTTGAATTTTCAGCTAGAGAAGGTACCAAGAAGAGCAAGGATGAAGTGAACTGAAGCTTGAAGACAAGCTTCAGTTCAGGGGAGGATATGTGAGCTGAAGTCAGGGCTGCAGGCTGACTGGAATCCAAATCCGAGAAGAAGAAGGATTAGAGTTGCAGCGGGAAAGGTTGTTAGTTTGAATAAAGAAACCAAAACTGTGTCGTTTGGCTTAAGAGTCTGTCTGTTTCGTTTTATGGTCTTTTTCAGTTTGGTCCTTGGTGTCTTGTTAGAGTCTTTTGAAGTCCTGCACAGGATTTGAGTTTGTTGCAGGTTGTTAGGTTAAACAGCTGATTAGTAGGGCTGTTAAGGGATTCATGGGGCACAAATCAAGGGGTTGGGAGTTAGTAGTGTGGCCGTTGTCAAAGGCTGAGTCTCTGTATTTAAACTTCTTTGCTTCTGATTAATAAAACTTGTCAGTTTGCCCCATAAGAGTTTACACCTACAACCCTCTTTCAAGCTTCAAAGCAATGTAGTTGGCTAAACCATGATTGTTTTTCCGCCTTCAAACGATGTTTAAATCAAGTAACAGAGATCCTAGTGACTCTAATCAAGGTCTAGGTACGACTATAAGGTAAGGAGACCCGATCCCTCACATTAAAGTTGACGTTTGTACAATTAAATACGAGTTTGGATAATTCTGGGAAATTAACGACAGCGATGAAAGCTTTTGGTGACAGTTTATATGTAATTGATTTAATACGTATGTGTCATGTGTGGATTAGGACATTAATAACTTAGTAGTTCATAAAATGACTTAATTTGAATTAGTGAATTATGTTATCTAATAATACGATTATTAGGGTTTCCGAGAGATCCTTTAAGCAAGTTAATAGGTTAAGATAATTTAAGTTACTAGCTAGCAAATATTGGTTTTGATGGCTATAATTAGGCCTGTCAATTCGGTTTCGGGTTAACCCGAACCCGAACTTATGTGCACAGTGTCGGTTTTGGTTTTTTCGGGTTCAACCCGATATGCAATGCATCGGTTTTGGTTTACCAAAACCCGTAATACCCGAAAGCTTATCAAGCATCAGGTTGTCGTTTTGAATTTTGAGAGCAACCTTAGTCTTCAGCCCTTCACCTCGTGCAGTCGCCATCTCTTCGTCTTTGGCAAACCTTAACAATTAACTAATATTTAATAATAAACTAATATATAAATATTAGTTTTATACTGTCCACGCCCCATAAAATTAAACATAATGGTTAAATAAGAATGTACAAATAATAAAAATAAAATTGTGTGTACAAGCAAAAGAATGTAAAATTCAAATCACAAAAGTATTTATAAAAAAAACTCAAAACGGTTCGATTTTGGGTTCACCCGAACCAAACCAAAGCCACCAGTGTACTTTTCGGGTTCCTATACCCGAAACCCGCAAAGCATAGTTTCGGTTTCGGATTGTGTGGCTAGGTTATGATTTTTCAGGTTATCGCGGGTTTCGGGTTCGGTTACCCGACCCGAACCCAACCGACATGCCTAGCTATAATACTATGACGAGTTAAATGAGAAGATAGTATGATAACTAAGCGGGTAAAGGAGATATATTAATGTAAGTAGTTATTGAGTGAGTTTATCAGAAAGTGAACAATAATTATAGTTTTAGATAGACCCGGCAAATTAAAACCCGACCCGAAACCGTCCGAAAACTATAAATTTTTTACCCGAAATCCGAATGACCCGAACTTGATAACCCATGATTTTTTGGGTCGGGTTGGGTGGGTTAGCGGGTCGACCCGTTAGACGCGTTCCATTTAATATATTACTCACAAAATATGATAAAATCACTCATAAATTGGTGAGATGTTTAAAAAAAATCCCAAGGATTTGAATGACATGTTCGGAGTTTAAGGATAATCAAATATCATGTGTTTCTTGTAGTAGTATTACTCTTGTGATTGTTTTTTGACGATTTGCGCAATTTATATTTCATTTAATTAGCGTGAGAGGATTTGAGAATATGTTGATTGATATGTGTTAGGTAAACTATTGTCATGCATATGTGAAAATATGAAACATGTTTGATATTGTTTCTGAGAACGCTCATAACCCGAAATTACTTGTAACCCGAACCGAAACCGAATGGGTTGGGTCAATATTTGACCCGAAATAAGCCAACCAATCATGACCCAACCCATAACCGAAGTTCCCAACCCGAAATTACCCAACCCGACCCGCTTGGCAGGTCTAGTTTTAGAACTCCTAATAATGTACAAGATAAATGATGCAAGATATCGAGAGTGTGAACAAGAATTATAGTTTTAGAACTCCTAATAATGTACTAAGACACTACATGACATTTGCACTCATATGCATGTTATTTGATATTATATTATATGTAAAAAATTAAATATAAGATTAAGACTGATCCCAACGCCGACATTCATGAGCTGCAAGCAAGTGGGAGTATTCAGACCACCCGCTAAGATAAAACTGTTGCTCGAAATGTCATCGTCACAAGGGTTAGTGATTGTAGAAGCTTCCAAGTGAACCACTTTCATTATGTGATTTTATTAATAGGCTTGAGACTAATGCCCATTTATTATTTTGTTAAGAGATATTTCATATAGTGACTTAATATTATTTAATGATATTCTAATGGTTTCTTTCGCTTTGAAATGATGTTGATTTCTCAACGATAATTTGATAAAAGTAGTGCTCGACCATGCTAGTGTATTGCATACTTACATCAACTACTGTTATTTAGAAAGAAAGAGAAAATCAACAAAACAAACAAGTGGCGCAGCGTAGGCTGTTGCTGGCTTGCCACAACTCCAAATGCCAGCCACGAAAATCCTCGGCTATCTATTCAGTGATGAAATCCCCTTTCCGACAGAAATTTCATTCACTGAGAGTCGTTTGAAGGTTTAGAAGAGGAAACTAGCGGTTTTCATGGTGGGTTCGATGTCTTCTTCTGGAGATATATCGCTGACCCTTCGGTCGGAACTATTCCACTCCAGAGCTAGCCGGTTAGACTCCCCGACGAGGCTGAGCACTACCACTGCTAGTGAGCCTTGCTTAAGCTCTTTTTAGTTTTTACTCTCACATCTTTTCTGGGTTCCTGAACTTGGAGATAACTTTGCGAGCTGCAATGTTCTTTTTTGTTTTTCCCCACTCGAAGGAAGCAGATGCGATATTAGCAGAAGAGGGTTTGCGATGAAAGGAATTGTGGCTTCAGGGGTTTCATCTATGGGGTCATCTGCCCTGGCTACTGAGCCTAAGCAAGGTATATTGGTTTTTGAAGTTTGCTTTCCCGTTTCTCTGTGCTGTAGAGGAAGGCTTTGTTAGGATCACGAGTTTTGAATGGTTGTAGGAGTTGAAAGATTGCCGTTCAAGCCAGAAGGCTATAATTATTGGTCATGGAGAGGTCATAAAATACATTATGTAGTTGAAGGAGAAGGTCTTCCTATTGTTCTAATACATGGATTCGGTGCTTCTGCTTTCCATTGGAGGTATTCTACTGTACTGTAATGGCCATTGACCTGAACTCGCCTTTCATTTACTTGGATGTGAACTATGGTTGATTTTGATTTCAAAGCATAAAGGAAAAAAACTACAGCGAAATTGCAGTGCAGTATATTTTTTTATTTATTCTAGACCGAGTATGTGCTTATATGTCTTGTTACTAATTCTAGAAAGGAAGTTGTTTTAACTTATATAAGCTATGGAAGTACTGCTCCTTTAGAACCAACATCTCTTGCTCTTTCTTTACATTCTCCCTCTCTACCAGTAGTCTCTCTTTCCATGAAACCCATGCTATTTGCCCATTTGCAGATATAACATACCCGAGTTGGCCAAAATGCACAAGGTTTATGCTATAGATTTGCTAGGTTTCGGATGGAGTGACAAAGCACTTGTTGACTATGACGCTATGGTATGGAGGGATCAAATTGTGGATTTCATGAAGCAGATAGTGAAGGAGCCGGCAGTTTTAGTCGGGAACAGGTACTTTCTTGTTCCAGGAGTTTTGATTTTCTGCACATTGATGAAAATTGAGGTGGAAGCAATTCAAGAATTTATCAGTGCAGGACCAGCGTACCAACTTCCAACACCATGAAATGAAATGAAGTCTTTTGCTTGCTTTCTAGATGAATTATGTTGTATGTGGAGTTGATATTTTCATAGTGCAGATATTAGCATAATGTAACTCATCAATCTTACTGTTCCAGCCTTGGTGGATTCACTGCTTTGGTTTCCGCAGTGGGGTTGCCTGAGCAAGTAGTTGGGCTTGTACTGCTAAACTCAGCTGGACAGTTTGGAAATCCGAATGCAGAAGCCAATAAGACTGAAGAGTCTGTTCTGCAGAAGTATGTTTCCAAGCCAGTGAAGGATCTTTTCCAACGTGTAGTACTCGGTTTTTTGTTCTGGCAAGCAAAGCAACCAGCTCGTGTTGAATCTGTCTTAAAGAGTGTAAGTGCCAGTTACCTCTTTATTTAAGAGAGAACTCTCATGCATTCTTTGGGTTCTTTTGACCAACATCAATGCAGTATATGCAGGTTGCTCAATGGGGTATGAACTAGTAAAGATAAAAACCTTTTCTGGTTAGGCAAGGATTAACATAGCAGAAATATTTCTTGTAAAAGCTGGGTCCTTAGTTTGTCCTGAAGAATTTGCTGAGTTTGGAACTAGCTTATCTAACTGCCTAGTTCTTAAGATCTGTATTCATATTGAAAAATCACTCATTTTCCCCTTGGTAGTGACATATTGAAAAATTACTCATTTTCCCCTTAGTAGTGTGATAGCCTTGATTCTACGATTTCAACATTAACAGACCAAAAACCGAAGAATCTTAGTTTGAAAACATACTTTTTGCATCTGCTCTCATCTCATGCGGTTGACAAAGGATAATTCATCTTCAAATTCTTCATAATTACCTTACTTGTTTCTACCTTGACGCTTCGTTTTGATCTGAGTGCCGTGCCTCACTACTTCTCAGGTTTATATAAACAAATCCAATGTGGACGACTATCTTGTTGAATCTATCACTCGGCCAACTGCTGATCCAAATGCTGGAGAAGTTTATTACAGGTTTGTCATTGTTGCACTTGCCCGCCTGTTTTGTTTGTCTCTTTGTCTTGAACTTTGTGCTCATAAAGTACCATTCCTTGTAGCAGATAAGTTGTTGTTTCCTTCATCCTGAACTTAATATCCATTATCTCTGGTTTGTGTTACACCTAATCTCTGTCCTATTTAGAAACCTAAATAAGCTCAAGAACCCACCCAATGTTTAGGTACAGCACTTGGTACTCTTAATTCCCAATGGTCAAATGATTTGCTTGCTGCTGATTGGTTATTTGCTTGGTACGAGCTCAGCAGTCCTAGTCTGAAATGAAGGATCTCTGAGTCCTCCCGAACTGTGAATTCTGCAGATTAATGACGCGATTCATGTTGAATCAAAGCAGCTACACTTTAGACAGTGCTTTGAGTAACCTCAAATGTCCCCTTCTACTGCTGTGGGGCGAGTTGGATCCATGGGTGGGCCCTGCCAAGGCTAATAGAATCAAGGAGTTCTATCCAAACACAACACTTGTGAACTTGCAGGCTGGCCATTGTCCGCACGACGAAGTCCCGGAGCTTTTTAATCAAGCTTTGATCGAATGGTTATCTTCTCTATAAGACCATAACCGTTTCCACCAGCACTGTAAAGTCTTCTGATAACTTTGCAGCTTTATACTATAGTTTGTATATTCCATTTTCTCAACATTGTTCATTTGCTTGTTTCGAAGTGAAAGCTGCTAAAACATTGCTTTGTAATTCTTATCATCTATCAATCTATACTCGCTAACCTTAGTAAAAAACCACAGAAGGATATGGCAAATCTTGTTGATATTCGTAAGCTATTTATTTGAAGAGTTAAAATGACTAAAGTCACAGTTTCCAGAGGTAACTGTTGTATTATTGTCATTAAACATTAATAGAGTATAAAGTGGAAGGTTGTTGTCGAATCATTAATCAGTCAGATAGGCTGAATTATTCAAAGCAAAGAGCTTTTTGGTAACCGACAATCCAAAAAGTCCATATCCTAGGCATGTCCAGTTTGGTGCTTTCGGCCATTGGTTGGTTGTCGTAGCCTCGTAGGAATGACGAATGTAAACAAGGTTGCCACACCCTAATTTCATCCTTTTGACGTTGAAGCTATTTTCTGTATTGGCACATCTATCTACATCTACACCTATCTATTATAAGAAACTAGAAAAAATGCCCGCTGCTACGCCGCGGGGACTTAAGTTGCAAAGTCGTGATGAATGGATGGGCAGTTTAGTTTATGGTCAAATCAGGAGGCGGAGGGTCATGTTTGAGGTCATTCCATTTACTAACCAATACCCAAACTAAATGAAAACTTTAGAAATGATTACTGACAGCAGCTAATTTTCTGTTTACCTTTTGTGAGCGACTTCGGCATGGAGGGAAGTAACCCATAAAAGGGACATGGGAAGTATGAAGGAGAAAAGATCAGGATCCCCTCGAGTTACACATTGACCTATCCTGACCAGCCTTCTTCTTGTGGTCATTTACTTTCCCTCAGCAAACAATTTGGTTCCTTTTTTTCTTCAAACCAAATCAAGTTACAAAGTTTTTATTCCCGTTTTCATCCTAAGCAAAGCTAACCATCCCTTTCCATAAAAGAAGCACCTAAAGAATGCAAAATCAAATAGACTCATCACTTCTATAAAAGGAAGAGAAAAAACCGTTTATAGAGTAGAGCTTGCCACAAAGCAGCCTTACCCATGCAAGATTAAATTAAGGAAAAAATCACAAATTGAAATCGCGAAAAGGTTAAGAGTATAATTTAAACACAAAGCTCTTCCGTTGCCGGTACATCAGAATCACACAAAAACAGAGGCAATGGTTAATACCTAACCTTTTAATGACAAACTCATCACGTAACGTTACTTCGGCTCGTCCTAGAACACTCTGCCATAAGTACTTAGTTTTGTACAAATCCAAATGGTGCTTTGAAACTGGAATCAAGATCTTAAATATCATTAGATTTTGCTGCCAATGATATGACAGTACCCATCCTTTGAAAGTGTCAAGTGAGGCATCAACTAATGGTAATAGTTATTGACATGGAATCAAACACAAACTTCACAGAATAAATTAGCTAGAATTAGACTCGACATTGGACAAACGTGATGCTGACAAAGGCCTAACAAATTACAAACCAATGAAGCAACAAATAGCATTCAGGATCCAGTTGGTTTGAAACAAATCCCAGAAAGAGAAAAGCAATTTGAAAACTAAACTGTTATAAAGAGTAAAATTCCTTATATCCATCCACCATCCGAAAACACAGAACATCACTTACACATCATTGGCTGGCACAACTTCATATCGGCTACTGTTACAACATCATTGACTACCACCTACACATAAACCAACTGAAAATTATAGAAAACATTTATATGTAAAAACTTCAACTTAAGGACGCAGAACACAGAGGGAAACAGAAACAATTTGCATCTAGCAAATTTGCAGGACGAACATGTACATGACAAAACTTCAGTTGAATTTGAAAAAGAACAATTTGGTTAACATAAATAGACTACCTCCCTTCTCCATATATGTAAACAACCTTTCTGACATGGTATTGCAGCAGCAGCAAAGCAGTTAATTTAATAAAATTCAAAATGGCGAAGAATTATTATAACCATAAAATAGAGCTTTAAGAGCCCGATTGTAACCCAAGAAAGCCATTTCCTCTGTCATTTGCTTGGTATAGTAACTTGCAGGAATATGAAAGCAAAGAAACAACACCAAGAATTCCTCAAAGTTAAAACCAATCCATATCACAGGAATCGAGCTTTCGATTATTTATTTTGAACTGCGTGAAATAGGATTCAACACTTAGATTGATTTTTAGTAAGGTACCGAGAAATTGGGCATCCAACTAAGCTTCTCCTCGAGCAAATCGACCTCCGACAATAGAGACTCGAAACTTCAGTCGGGCTTGGCTTCCACCGCTGTTCTGTTAACTCTCTTCCGACAACACGATGCTCCAACTTGATAGTTCCCCTGAAACAGACCGTTAAAGTCACAAAATCGTGTTCTTTCCAAATTTGGGCCGAAAACAAACAGAAACCGCATACCTCTCACTGGCTTTTATTTTTGCTTTCTGAGGTATCATAGAATTGCACATATCGTAACAAAGAAGTTCTATTGTCGGACCTTTTTCTATATTTGTGATTTATCCTGCAAGGCCATGTATATATACTTGGTAGATGTTTTTCCCTTTTTGGACTTTTCCCTTTTGGGAATATCTATGAAAAAAATTAACTGCACCTCCTAGCGGCAAGAAAGGAAAGTGGGAAGACAAAACACACGCACAAAACAATTGAACATTGGAAGCTTATAAAGGTAGTTGAAAAACACAAGAAGCAAGCATAGAAACCAGAGGAATCCTCCTTGGTCGGATTGGACTCCTCTCTATCATTCCATCAGATGCATCGATATTCTTCGTAATCCCCATTTTTGTTTTCATTTATAAGTTCCCCCTACTTCCTTCAGAAAAAAATCCAAAAATACACATGTTTTTAAAACAAATTCCCAAAACATGTTTGGGCATCACCGTTGTTGTTAACCGCAGTGAATGATTCACCACGGATGACCAAAGCAGTGAATGCATCACCGCGGTTGCCGCCGCGGTGAATGCCTAACGTAACACTGAAACTTCAAACAAACATAACTATGCGCTCGGTTATGCGATTGTAGCGAATTTTTTTTTTTATTCCACATAACTTTTCAAGATCTTTCAATCTGAAACAAGACTTCATCCCAAAAAAAATCATTTGCTACCCCGAACGAGCAATATTCTCCGAATGTCATGAAACATTTTTTTATTTTGCATAACTTTTGAAGTACTACAACTTTGATTATAACCATAATTTTGGAAAGTATGTGGATTTGTGAAAAGTAAAGGCAAAGTTATTCCCGAAATCCCGTATACCCAAAAATACTTATTTCTTAAAAAATTATTTCCTATTCAAAGTTGTAGTTCTTAAAAATTTATACGCAATCAAAAAAAACTTTACAAGGTTCGGATTGAGGAGCTAAAAGTTATGTCCTTCCAAAGTTTGGAAAAATCGAAAAATTGCTCGTTCGGGGTAACAAACGACATTTTTTTTAGATGAAGTCTTGTTGCAGATTGAAAGATCTTGAAAAGTTATATGGAATTAAAAAAAATTTCGCTACAATCGGATAACCGAGCGCAAATTTACGTTTGTTTGAAGTTTCAGTGTTAAGTCGGGCATTCATCGCGACCTTCAACCACGGTGATGCATTCACCGCATTCACTGCGGTTGACAACAGCGATGATGCCCAAACATGTGTATTTTGAGTAACGTGTGTATTTTGAGAGTTTTTTTAGAAATGTGTATTTTTGGCATTCGTACCCTCCTTCGTTACCACACTCATTTGCTTCCCCCCTGCTTGCCCTCTCAGCACCCACTTTCTCTCCACAAATTTCCTTAACTGGGTTCTCATTCTCGTTCCTTTAACCTCCTAATCCTAAAAGTTGCCAACTTTCTTCTTCTACCATGGAAGTGGACAGTGATTATTGCCCTGCCTTCAACCAAACCAGAAGCGGCTACGAGCCATCCGATGCAGAGACCGATTGGAGGGAGAGCCCCATCCAAACCCGCAGCAATGGAGGAAGGAAGGGCAACAAACTTCGATTCCGACACTGACCTGGAATTACCTCCACAAAACCTCACTTGTTCCAGCAGACAACAACTGAGGAAGTTTAATGGCGGCGATGAAAACAACAACAACCTTGATCATGACCACAATTCATCTTCTCCCCCTGATGCAGCAGCTACTTCCATCTCCAGCTCCACTAGGCGCAAGACAGAGAACCCCGGACAAGAAGCAACAGTAAGGATCAGGAAAATGGCGCCTACAAAGATGAGAAGCTGAAGAAGAATCATCCTCCGCCACCACTTAACCCTTCCAGGAGAGCCTCAATCGGGGAGCTGAACGAGCTCATCGGTGCGATGAAGCTCTCCAGAGCCCTCCCTGGTGGAGGGAAAGGGAAGCCTTTGTGCGAGAGGACGGATGGATTCACTCTCGCCAGGTGACATCTTCTTCTCCACAGATGTGACTTGTGCACTGCCACCATCCATCCAGCAGACGGGCTTTTTAGCTCATAATAACAACAAGCAAGAGGCCAAAGGGTGCGAGGATGTGAAAATGAATGATGACAAGGCGTCCACGCGGAGTTACTTCCACACTAGTAGCAAGGTGAGCGGGAGAACGACTGAGAGCGTCAAGGCATTTGTGGCCAACAGGAACAAGTCTTGGCAGTCGTCGGATTCTAATTGCCTGTCTTGTATCCAAGGAAGGAGTTGCAGGACAAATCACAAGTCGCCAGAGAAGAAAACAGTGAATGAATCTTGGTATATTCATATTAGGAGGGCTAATGTGGTCGAGAGTTTGAGACAGTTCTGACTTGAGATTCTTCCAATCACAGGTAAATTCTGATTAATCTCATCACTCAGAAGCATACAGGAGTGAGATGTCAATCGTCCGGTGGGCATGTGACAGGAGAGAAAGGAGCCCAGGTGGTGGTTCCAACTTCCAATAACATCAAGCGCTCATCATGTGGAGCTGAACGTGAAATCGGAACCAAACAACATGAGTGCGTTGATGGGTTTGGTGAAGGAGATCAGCAACACCTATTCACTAACGCCAGAAGTCAGCACCCTCAATTTCAGACCAGACTACAAAGGTTGGTTGGACTTGGAACATTTCAAAAAATCTCTCACGGACATTTCAGCAAACACTTTATGATCATACCTTGTGACGGTCTCACTAATCTACCTCTTTTGGCCGGGTAGTACCTCTCCAGTGATACTTCTTTATGAGGCTGACAGAGCACCGGAGAACATCCTGCATCTCATCAAATGGATCATGGACTGCTACACAGATTGCTGCAAGCTCATTCTCTGCTGCGACGATGATGTCCACATGCTCGAATCAGTGAGAAATCGGTGCAAAGTTGTGAACGTCGACGCTCCTGCAACTCATGAAGTAAGTAGACGTGACATGATTATTTCAGCTATTTTGAACAGTTAAATAACAGCACACCTCGGGTTTTGTGGTAGATGATGGGGTTTCTTGTTCGAATATCAAAGAAAGAAGGGTTTGATCTACCCATGAGCTTTGCTGCTAAGATTGCTACAAAAGTGAAGGACTTGAGAAGCGCAATCTGGCACTTGAAGCTTGCAAAGCACACAAGTAAGAAACAACAACAAACAAAAAAAACTTTACTGGCTGATCTTGCAACCTCCTTGTCCATGCATCCAGTGAAAACTGAATTCAAGTTCCATCATCATAAATCTGACTTCCTTGCAGCTATCCTTTCGCTAAAGATCAACCGATCCCAATATTCTGGGAAGAGGTGCTGGTAGAAATCGCCGTGTTTTTTTATCAGGTTGTTTCTGGTGAGGGGGAAGTTGCAGAAGCTGCTAGTTGATTTCGTCAGTCCCCAACTTATTATTCAGGTACCACATCCTCTCCCACTCCCAGTCTTCTTCGCTCGCAGCATCTCCATGGTTGTTCATTTTACTAATTGTTGTCTCATGGTGGTGTCTTGAAAAACGATGCCAGAAACTTGTGGAGCAATTCCTGAAGGAGATGCCTTCGAGTTCGAAAAGAGAGCTTTACTATTGGCATGGCTACTATGTAAGTTTCTTCAGCTTCTGTTCATGACTAACGAAAATAGACGGTTCGTGTTAAAGTGACTGGCTTCTGGGCCTTGTTGGTTGTTGCAGAAAAAGAAACTCCCAGCCGGTACAACTGCCTTGCTCAAGCTAGAAGGTAAGCAAACTCTTATCACTCATTGAAGATGAATGATCAAATACTAACTATTTGGTTGTGATTTTTCTTCTATGACTTATGCAGAATTCGTTGCCAAGTTCATGGGCATGTACCGGAAGAGTATAGGGAGTCGCCAGTTCCGACTCTTGAAGGAGTAATTTTGCCCATTTGGACATGCTATTTCTTCAAACTCACCATTCGTAGTTTGATAGAAATCATCGGCTGTGAAAGATGTCTCCTGTAAATTCGACCTTCCTCGATCCTCTATTTGCCAGACCCAAAGTTCTAACTGTGAACAAGAGCTTACCACTGCCAGCTCCCTCAAACTAGATCGTCCGACTTCTTTCACATTTTATTGCTGTTAAGATCATCCACAGAACTAGCCTTTTTTTTCCAAATCAGGGTCATTTAGCCAATTAGGGTTCCTGTGCTCATTGTTTATATTCAACTACTCCAGATTGAAGCTACCAACCGCATCCAAATAAAAATTAGCAATTCTCTGCCCGGGGAAAAAACAAAACAATGAGAAACATTGTATTACTTATCAAGAGGGTTCAAGGATAATACAAAATGAAGGATCCAACAGGTATTCAATCTGAGCTACGCACATATCGCATGAACCATTCTACAGTTGATCATTTTCTTGTTACGAAATAGAGGTGGGGAAAGTGGTAGATGTTGCAGTCAATAACAGCTTCCAACATGCAGAACACCACAAACTTACAGCAAGTAAAAAAATTCCCCGTTTCTCTCAGTTGTGTAAATCTCTGATGATATCCGAGCTCCTACCACCATCCTGTAGCTTTAGTCAGTCTCGTGACTTGCTACTACTTTCAGGACGCTTGTTCCCAGTATACTTCTGCAAATATCCAAAGATGAGGTATTAACTACAGATTAGTCAGGTGGAAAAACAAATTTGGAGAACCAAAAAAGGAGGATAGTTCTAATATGTCACAAGGCAGACAGTCACGTAGCAGTAGCACACTGACCTTCTTTCCCAAGTCGAATGGGACATACTTATACTTGATCATATGCATGATTTGTTTTCTCATTGTGAGAACAAAGAGAACAATCCAGTACAGCACTAGTATCGGCCAGAAAACGGGTACGTCGAACACAGGGAAAAGGGTCATGAATGAAGCGACAAGAAATGCCTTGGTGAAGGTGTACCTGTGAACATCGACCAAACAACTATGTTGGAAAAACTACATCTCGCTACATATCAACACATTCCATTTCAAGGCATCACCAATACAGCTAAACAGAGGACGCAATGAAGCCATATCAACTAAATGAGCACCAGAAGCATGGTATTCCTTTTCACATGAAAGTTCCCTTAACGACTGACCAAATTTGTTATCTCGAGTCCTTAATTAGGCATGTTATTAAGCAGGCAAGGCATTTGAAGCTTGAACTCATAAACCAATTGCGACTGCATGGCAACTAAACAAGCAACACCATAGTGAATCTCAAGGGCTACTTACAGTAACAACGCACTAAATAAAACAGTGAAACAGAAACACGAACCCACAGGGTAAACCAAAATTTGACGGAACTACATTGCAGGAAGCTGGTAAACAAACGTCTGACTTCATCAGAAGCATTGGTCTGAGCATCAAAGTGTACAGCTAAAGATACTGAAGTATGATCATTAGAATGAGACACTCCCATTCACAAGAAACAAGCAAGTTAATGGATAACCGTTTCTGGTTGCTGTGTACAGCAAAGAACAAGCAGCTGTACATTAGGGTTCATCGTCAACTAACACCTAATGAGATCTCCACGGAGCAAAAGAGATCATCATCCAGAAACCACGAAAACGAAGAGCAGAACTACCACATAATCCTAATCGCGTCTCGGGACCGAATTCCTGCCTTCCCTACTGCAGCAGCCAACCAAAGCCAATTGATGGTCTGTCTCCCAACTTCCTTACTCTCAAGTCTCGAAGAAGTAAAGACTGTAATACTGCTAAAACTGCAAGTTTACATTAAGCTCGAGAAAATTTACCAGAACTTGAACTCAGGAAGCCTGCGAACAAACGGCCTGAACTCATCGGAAGTCTTGGTCGGCAAAGAAGCTCCATCAAGAGATTCAAGCTCCGGATCGACCTTCGGGGAAAGGAATTGAATCAACAGATTCAGAACGTAGATCCCGAGCCCGTACGAGACGACATAGAACCCCTGGACGTAGTAAATCCGCAAGGCGTACAATAGGGCCACCGCAAGAGTTCCGAGCCACCTCAGCGTCGGCTGAGGCACCGATCTGTCGAGATAGTACTGGAACAACCTTGAGAAGTCGCTGCACCACTTGACAAACGGCGGCACGCTTTCAACTCTTACTTCCGCCATTGGAGCCGAACCCAAGGGTTTCAACGAAGAAGAAGTTGTGACAATGTCGCCGGTGGCGCGGCGGTATTTCTGGTTGTCTTTGTTTGGGAGATTGGAAGTGAAGCGAGAAGCGAGGATTTGGTGCTTCTTGATCTTCAAGGTGCGAGAGGGAAAAGCATATTAATGGTCCATTTTCGTCTCTACTCGGTAGTACATAGCCACACTACAGCAACTGTGAGAAGAAAAGCATATTATCCGCGATACTTACTGCCGCATTCGGACCGATTTACCCTTTTCCTTTCTTCTCCGAAAAAACCTTCTGCTTCCTTTTCTTGTACGTTCTTCTCCGTTTCGTCTATTTTTCCTTCTTCAACGCAAGTCAGTTCTAACTTCTAAGGTCAAGTCCAATGCAAAACCCCAAATTTGGGCCTTGAACTCCAAATTTGCGGATTGAACCTCATTTTCCCTTCTTTTGCTCCAATGCAACAAACTCCATATTTGGAGTTCTTAATATTTTCAGTTTTTCCATTTATTTAAAAATGTACTTATCGAAACTTTAATATAATTTATTCATGTTAATTTTTGTATAGTTCGTCATCATTTTTAAATACAAATTTTTCGATAGAATTTTGTTAAATTTCGAGACCGAATTTTTTTTAGTGAAAAATTATGGACCTAATTTGGGTTTACACACAACACTTAAAAATGATAAAGCTTAATGAGTTGACATAATAATTCAAATGGTACAACTCATAGGTTACACACAACACTTGCTAATCATAAAGCTTAAATATTACACACAACACTTGCTAATCATAAAGTTTAAAAATAACACACAACATTTGAAATGATTAAAAAGAAACACATAACATGTAAATAATCACCCAGAAGGGAATAGTAATTAGTTATTGTTGTTGCTTGGTATCGATGCTGGGATGCTTTGTAATTCAATTAAAATTGTAGTTGGTGAAAATTTATTTTGTAATTTACGAACGCCTTTTCATTTCAATAATATAATTTCCATTCTTAGTTCGATCTAATTTTTGTTTACACATAACTTAAAGATGATAAACATAAATTTTAAATAAAATGAATTCAATTTAAGTCATCTTAGAAAAAAGCCTAAATACAAAAATATTAAACACAAATTAAATACAATCTAAAAAACCTAAATACAAACATTAATTCCTTTTTCCCTAATTAATTACATTCCATTCCCTTAATCAATTTCCTTAAATAACTAATAAATAATTAACAAAAAAAAAAGCTCCTGCGTTGGAGCTCCAAAAATTGCATTAATTACATTAATTAATCCAATAAACAATTTCCTTTCTTCCCTTAATTAATCACATTAATTAGCAAGCAATTAATTACACCTTTCCTACCATTAATCACATTAATTGCGCGCGTGCCAACAATTCTTCCATTCCCCATAAATGCCGACCTCGGCATTCCCTCTCCCATATTTAGCGACCCAGATGCCGATGCCCTCCATAAATGCCGATTTTCGCCATTTTTCGTCTCTGCGTTGGAGCTCCAAAATCGCCTTTAATGGCGAGAACTCCATAAATGCAGGCTGCATTGGAGTCAGCCTAACCAAAATACATCAAGAACTTCTCACAAAAATAAAATGGTAAATTTTAGAGTAAATACCACCATGGTAAATCATAGTTGTCAACATTACAAAACTTCAGTATTTTAACTAAGAGGAGAATTACAAAATTATTATCGGTAACAGAAAAATGACTAATATTTTGCAGCGTTACAAAAGATTTGGCTAATATTTAAAATGCGAGAAAGGTTTGGCTAATAATTAATATTTACCCTAAATTTTATAAAAAAGAAAAGGTAAATAGCATGTTTGGTCACTAAGTAGACTAATTTGTATTACGTTAACCAATTAAAAATTTCACTTTCATTAATGGTCACTATGATTAAAATAAAAATTCAATTTCGGTAACTTGTCGTTGATTTTGGCCAAACTCAATTAAAGCCGTCAGTATTTTGATGACATAGCTGATAGGAACGTTGAATCCCCTTTATTTTAACCTGGAAAAAAATTAAACCTACTACGTCAAAAAAACACAATGACAAAAAATAAAGCACATGACTCGTTGCGACATCCAGCTCCGAAACCATCATCTACAACGATTCCATTACGTTTGCCACGTCAATGCCTCCCCAAATCAACAAATCCCCCACACAAATCTCCGAAAGTTTTATAATCATCACCTCGCCGGAGATTGCATCTTCCGTTTCTGGTAGGAATGGCAATGGGCAGGTCCGGGACGAGTATCACGATACTCATATGTGCCTCGTGACAGGTTGGGTAATTTATCACAGGGCGCGGGTCGGGGCAAGTCGACCCAATGGGTATGCAATTTATATGGAAAGTGTTGGGTATATACATAGGCAGACCATTGGGGGACATGGGCCCGTCCAAGAGGCTCAGACCCAAAACCACTTTAGGAGATGGGGCTGAAAACAAGGAGTAAGGCCCAGCCAACGGCCCACAGGCGCATGGCGACAAAAAGGGACCACCGGGCTTAGAGCGTGCCACCTGGACAGGTGGTCCCTGTAGGCGCCAGGAGCCAGGAGCCCAGAAGCGGCCACGTGGAGGCGCCCGACCGTTGGGCCGTACCAAGCATTTAATGACGCGCTGACGTGGAGCTGGATTCTAGGAGCCTGGTCGAGGCCTCGACGAGTATAAATAGTACTCGGTAGGTAGCATTTACGCAGGTTGGTTTCTCTCACTAAGGTCCCCAAAATACTTCTCTCTCTAAACTAGGGACTGACTTGAGCGTCGGAGTGCTAACGGGCATCCCGAAGCCCTTAGGCGTCTATCTGTGCAGGATCTGGGCGTCTGTAGGGAGGCCCATCATACGGAAGTTCGAAGGAGCTGGTCTGAGAGTTGCGTGGCTTCAACAATTGGCGCGCCAGGTAGGGGGAGCGCCCATGGAAAACGTTAATGACGTGAACGGCGGGGAAGACAACTCGAGGTCGGGAAACTTGAATCAGGAGGAAGATGAGCGCCAGCGAAGTCACGAGGTAAGCATGGACGTGGGGGAACAGGAGAGCCCTGGGCGCCTATCAGTAGACGAGAGAGATTCTTTAACGAAGAGGGAGTTGTTTCGAATCATAGCTGATCAAGATCGGGCCATAGCGGCGCTCAG